GAAGGCAGAGAGATTTCCCCTATACCTCTTGCTCTGACTCATGCATATCCTCCCTCATTATCAGCATCCCACACCAGAGGGTATGTTTGTTACAACTGATGAACCTCTATTGACACATCATTATCACTCCAAGTCCATAGTTTACATTAGAGCTCACTCTTGGTGTTGTACATCTGACGTGTTTTAACAAATGCGTAATGACATATATCTAACTTTATAGCATCATACAGAGTACAGGTGACCCTTGAACAATGTGGGGGTGAGGGGTGCCGACCCCCCCCCCACGCTCAAAATCCACATATAACTTTTGAGTCTCCAAAGACCTAATTACTAATAGCCTACTGCTGATCAGAAGCCTTACCAATGTCATAAGAAGTTGACTAACACATACTTCGGATGTTATATGTAGTATACACTGTATTCTTACAAGAAAGTAAACTAGAGAAGAGAAGATGTGATTAAGAAAATCATAGGAAATAGCACCCAGATGGCTTAGTTGGTTCAGCATCTGACTCTTGATCTCGGCTCAGGTCACGATCTCACGGTTCATGAGAGCGAGCTCTGCATCGCGCTCTGTGCTGACCCCGCGGAGCCTGCTTGGGATTCTCTCTGGCTCCCTCTGTCTCTGCCCCTCCCCTGCTAGCGCTCCCTCAAAATAAATAAATAAACTTCAAAATTACACACAAAAAAAGAAAATCATAAGGAAGAGAAAGTGTGCTTACAGTACCACACAGTATTTATGGGGAAAAATCCAGACAAAGCAGACCCTGCAGTTCAAACCCGCGTTGCTCAAGGGTCATATGTAGTTTTACTGACCTAAAGATCGCCCGTGCTCTGCCTATTTATCCCTTCCCCCTCCCCTCAACCCCTGACAACCCTGATCCTTGAACTGTGGCCATAGTTGTGACTTTTCCAGAACGTCATATCGTTAGCAGCATCACACAGTCTGTGGCATTTCCAGACCGGCCTCTTTCACTTAGCAATGTGCATTTAAGGTTCCTCTGTGTCTCTTCATGGCTTGATGGCTCATTTCTTTTTAGAGCTGAATAATATTCCGTTGTCTGGATGAACTGAAGTTCGTTCATTCATCTACTGAAGGACATTGTGGTTGTTGCTTCCAGGTTTTGGAAATTATGAGGGGTCATCAGGGAGGTATTTTCAGCTCCCTTTCATTACTATTTTCGCTGCTGCTACAGCGCGCGCGCGCGCGCGCTACCGCCAAATACACACACCGGCCACACAAACCCACACCCTCTCCTACGCTGTCGGGCGTTCGTTGACGCCAGGCCGAGGTCAGGAAAATAGGATCCAGGATGGAGACTCACTCGAGCAGAGTCATGGGTGGAAGATTCTCCGGCCAGTGCCGTGGCCAGGAGACCTGATTCCTTGCAGGGGAAGGAGCCTGATTCCCTGCAAGGGAAGGAGCCCATTTCAAACCAGGAGACAGCCCCAGACAGAGGGTCGGCCTCGTACCTTCCAGGGGCAGCTGGCCCCAGGGCAGAAGGCTGCTCGTGCCCTTTCACGGCTCCTGAGGGGGACATTATTTGCATTTATTAACTGATTAATCGATTAACTCCAGACACTATGCTTGGGACTGTGGCTGGGGTTCCAAGGGCTCAAACTAGAGCAAAGTTGATGGACGGCTTGGGTCCCCATGGCGTAGGGCCTGTGATAGCAGATGACTGGATGATCACCTCAGCCACCTAGTGTGACATATGTCTCCCCATCAAGACCGGCTGCCACAGGGTGATGACCATATCTTGGTGACTTCTGCTTCGCAGCTGCCAGCACATCCTGGCACAGAACAGGAGGTCACTTAACACTCATGCCTGGGGGGTCACCTGGGGGGCTCAGTCGGTTGAGCATCTGACTTTTGGTTTCGGCTCAGATCATGATCTCACAGTTTGTCGGATCGAGCCCCACGTTGGGCTCTGTGCTGACATCGCGGAACCTCTTGGGATTCTCAATCTCTCTCTCTCTGTCTCTCTCTCTCTCTCTGTCTCTCTCCCTCGATTTCTGCCCCTGCCCCAATTGCTCTGTCTCTGTCTTTCAAAAGAAATAAACATTAAAAACACACACAAAAAAACAATTCTCATGCCTGGGATGAATCTGTAGGATGTCTGCGAACTTTGAAGCCATGAGAAAAACAACGGTGAGGAAGTAAGATGTGGGGGAGATTGAAATAGGCCTGGTTTTTAGTTTTTATCTCTGTGCGTGGAGAGCAGCTCGGTTCCAAGAGTATTCCAATGTGCTCTGTGTAATGTGCTCATACGATTGTTATGTGGGGTGTGTTGAAATTAAACGGACGGTTTATTTGGGCAATCCCTCCCCCAAATACTACGAGTTAGAAATGTGTGGTAGAAAGAGCCAGAAGATGCCAAGTAGCATCACCTCTGTGGACAAATAAAAAGGGGGTGTTTTCAAGTTGCTAAGTTTTGGGGCCATTCGTCACACGGCAGCAGATAACCGGTATTTATAGGAAGGGTCTCTTTTCAGAAAAAGTGTAAGTGGGGAAGAGAAAACCTCCATAATGACTGAGTTGTGGTTCTCAAAGCCAAAGAGGCATGGGGGCCAGATTTTAACATTTTTACAATATCCAAACTTCTCTCATCCATCCATCTATCACTCTATCATCTATTATTTATAGAAAGAGAGAGCACAAGCAGGAAAGGGGCAGAGAGAGAGAGAGAACGAGAATCCCGAGCAGGCACTACACTGTCGGCACGGAGCCCGACATGGGGCTCCAACCCACGAACGGCGAGACCATGACCTGAGCCAAAGTCAAGAGCTGGACGCTCAACCAACCGAGCCATCCGGGTGCCCCTAAAATATCTAAATTTTCTCTTGCTTTTCTTCATCCTGAGCCTTTTGAGTCAGCCGAAACAATAGGTTGATAGAACCCCAGTGGTAGGTCCCAAGCGTAGTGTCTGGAGTTAATCGATTAATCAATTAATAAGTGCTAATAATGTCCCCCTCAGGAGCCGCGGAAGGGCGCGAGCAGCCTTCTGCCCAGAGGCCAGCTGCCCCTGGAAGGTACGAGGCCGACCCTCTGTCTGGGGCTGTCTCCTGGTTTGAAATGGGCTCCTTCCCCTGCAGGGAATCAGGTCTCCTGGCCACGGCACTGGCCGGAGAATCTTCCACCCATGACTCTGCTCGAGTGAGTCTCCATCCTGGATCTGTTTTCTGGAAGCCTCGGCCTGCCCCACGGCGTCAGCAGGCCGCGGCAGCGCTGGGAAGGGGGTGTGGGTTTGTGGCGGTGTGTGTGCATGTGGAGCGGTGGGGGGGGGGGTGGGGAGGGGGCTGGAAATAATGCCACCCTCCGGTGGCCCCTCTCCAGCCGGGTTTGGAGGCGAGCCTGGGAAGCACGTGGAGCCCATGATCTCCCAGCCGCGGGGGCCTCGTTGTTCAGTAAGCAGATTACGAGATGCTGCATCAGGTGCGTGGTGGGGGGCTGTCTTCAGACCTGCCACTTGCCTTGTTTTGCAAACAATGATCGTATAGTGCAGCCCGGTCAGGGTCCACTCTGGAAGGCGGCGACTCCCTCAGCCTTTTTGGGTCTGCCGCGTGGCCACAGAGGTTCGGCTCGCCTACCCACCTTCCCATCCAGCTACTGATTTGTATCTGAATCTGTCCCCTGGGAGTGCCCAGGTGCCCCACAGAAATGGCGGGACCTGGCTCAGCCCAGTGTCCTCAGACAGGGAGGGCAGAAAAGCCGCCGGCTCCCGCACACTGGGCCGACTGATGTTCTAGAAGCAGCAAAGGTTCTAAAAGGCCGGTCTTTTCTCTTTGAGGATGCCCCAAGTTCTGAGGGATTGTGCGTGAACCACCCCTTGTGGCTTCGTGCAGGGAACTGGTGCCTTTTTGAGGAAGAGGCACCTCGGGATTAAGTGTCTCTGACGCTTTTATGCTCTGGGCTGAAACAGGGAAGCTGGAGAAGGCCATTGCTGTCACCTCTCTGTAGGATGCCGGGGTGGGGGCCCAGAACTGATGCTTGCTTTTACTCGGGTTACATTTTCGTCGGCTTTTGCTAGATGCTACTGTTAAATCTCCACAGATGGCACTTAGCCTGCGGTGTGGCGGAATCCACGTAATAAAATGCTTTGCAACTGGGGTTTTAAACAAATTCAGGAACTTAAAAAAAAAAAAAAAACCGTAATAAATGGGGTTGTGTTGCTGAACTTGGAGCTTAGAGGCCGGCAAGTATGGCGGTAAGGACCTGGCTCTCCAAGCTTGGGTCCAAAAACCAACTCTACCGCCTGCCAGCTGTGTGACCTTGGGCAAGCCCCTTAACCTCTCTGGGCCTCAGTTCCTCTTCTGTACAATGGGGGTAAATGGCACCGCTCCTTTCAAAGGATTATTGCGAGGATTATATGTGATACGTGCCCATGCGAGGTGGTTAATACAGGACCAGGCCCATACTGAGTGTTTAATAAATGTGCATTATTTGTGTTATTGGTATTGATAATTTCCTTACTGAACCATAAACAGAACCAGTGTTTTATTTTTCCAGGAAAATGGTGAACCGGTAGAAACTCAAACAGAAGCCCCACCCCGTCCAAAGGGATCACGAGGCAGCAGGGGGCCCAGCACCGAGCCCTCTGCAGCCCTTGATCATATGCACAAAGGCCTGTTATTATCCTGACTTTGCAAATGTCCACACAAAGGCTCCAAGGGGCTTGGTGACCCGCCCAAGGTCACACAGGGAAGGCTTGTGGGGGGGCTCATCTGTCATTAGGGCCACTCACTGCCTCTGTCCGTGTGGGATGCAATTTGATCAAAACACGCCTTCCCTTCCACATGAAATGTAATTTCATGTGTGACTGTAATGGGACCCGTTCGTTCATTCGTTCGTTCCTTCGCTCGCTGGCTCACGGGTGTCTGTCTGTGTTCGTGTCTGAGCTGGGCCCGGGTGTAAGTGTGTCCCCCACGCCCTCCCTGCCCTGTCCCCGGGGCGGCGGGGACACAGAGCCGCGTGGCCCTCACGTGACCCCCTCCCCCAGCTCCCCCTGCGGCGCCGACACCCCCCTGCGGTTCCCCGACGGCCACGGCCTCCTGCAGACCCCGCGCTGGGACGAGCCCCAGAGGGCCTGCGCGCTGGAGCAGATCTGCGGCGTGTTCCGCGTGGACCTGGGGCACATGCGCTCCCTCCGTCTCTTCTTCAGGTGAGAGCCTGTCTCCGCGGCTTCCCGGAAGTTGGCTGGGGTTGCAGGGGGCCCAGCGGGCGGGGGCTTCGGGTCCAGTCGGGGCTTGCTTCCCGACATCACTGAGCCTGTGGGCAGGGGTGCCCGCTACGGTTGCCCCCAGGAACCGGGCCCGGGCAGCTTCCAGACTCTTCCATGCGCCCTCAGGGTCCCACCCCCTCCATCCCCCCAAGAGGCTTTGCAGCTCCGCCTGTGTGTGCAGGAAGGGGGCGTGGCTTTCTGGGGGAGGCGCCCCGTTTTCATGGTGGGCGGACCGTCCCTATTAGCGTCCTGTCTAGCAGCCACATCCAATCGCTCCCGAAAGGCAGGGTGGCCCAGCCCCACGCTGGCCCCCGCGGAAGACCTGTGCTCGAAGCACACGTGTCGCTGGAGGGGTCCCAGACCCAGAGCCACAGTCTGGCCTTTCAGGGAAGGGCAGCCGGGGTTGGGCCGAACACCCAGTTGGATGTGCAGTGAGTTTTCCGGAGGATTCTCCCAGGGTGCCCTCCAGGCCGTCCCACCTGGGCTCAAAATCTGATTCCACCTAATGGCATCCACCCCTAGATCTCCTGGAGAGGGGGCACCAGGGAGGGGGGGCACCAGAGAGGAGGGGACACCGGAGAGGGGGGACGCCAGAGGGGGGGGTGTCACTGCTTGGGGCCGGGGACCCAAGGCCGCTCTGGCAGCCCTCCAGGGAGCGAGGACAGTCCTACTTCCCGGCCCCCGCAGGAGGGGGCCGGCTTGCGCTCCTCACCCCAGGGGGCGATGGCTCGCGTGTGGGTGTAACTGTCCCCCTGTGGCCCCGCAGCCAGACTCCGCGGGGCCTTCCTGTTTCCTGCCCCGAGGGTCAGCGATAGGGGCCTCTGATTATACTTGGAAATAAAACCCGGCGTTTACATATTCATTGCTCCCTTCTCCCTCCCCCTGCTACGGCCGCGCAGCGACGAGGCCTGCACCAGCGGCCAGCTGGTCATCGCCAGCCGGGAGAGCCAGTACAAAGTGTTCCACTTCCACCACGGCGGCCTGGACAAGCTGTGCGACGTGTTTCAGCAGTGGAAATACTGCACCGAGACGCACCTCAAGGACCAGGTAGCCCAGAGGGCGACCGGAGGGCCCCGCCGTGGGAGTCGCCCTGCTGCCGAGACTCCCTCCCCTCCTCTTCCCTCCCACGGCGGGGAGGGTCCGGGACTTCCCCGCGCGGAGGCCTCGGAGGGGTGTGACCCGAGCCTGTCCGCGGTCGCTGGGCGGCTGAGAGGGCAGCAACTTTGGATTTGAAGCCTGTGCCCAGGGCTTCTTGTAAAGTCAGTGCTGTGCACTTGAAAAATCATGTTTTGACAAGGCTTCCTGCCATATTTTGCTCAATCTACATACAAATGTAATAAGAGCTCTTTAATTATCTGTTCAAGATACTGTATGTGCTTATTAGAAAGGGGCTGACTTTCAGATTCCCTTCCTTCCCACCGAGCCTCCTGCTGGCTTCCCTCATTACACTAGCGTGGCTTTTTTTTCCCCCTACATTGAACAACCTTTGATTTTTGAATTAAATGTCAGCCGCAGTTTTGCCCCGGATTCGTGACTGCCCGTGGAGACAACCTGACAGGCGGGCTCCCTGCTCGCGGAACAGCGGCCCCTTTGTCTGTGGCCAATCACATGTAATTTATTGCAGGCCCTCCCGGCAGAGGGAAGTTGGGCCGTACGAGGCATTAATTCCGTTTTTGCGGCCGGGGTCGCGGAGAGAGTGGGGGCGGTGGCGAGGGGGCCACGGTCTCGGTCGGTCTGTGGGAGTGGGCCGGGGAGCCTGGGCGGCCGCGGGGGGACGA